ATGTCGTTTTGACTTTTTTGATTCATCCATTTTGTTATGTATCTAGACATATTAATGTCTAGATACATAACAAAATGGATGAATCACAAAAGTCAAAACGACATTTAAAAAAAATGGGAGGTAGTAATAATTACGACGTCTCGTTTTTAGCGGTGTTCGTAGAAGCAAACATCAATTTCCTCATATGTTTTTTAATGACCACTAGAATTTATACAAATAGTAATTAATTTATACAAAAATATTAAATAAATTATTTAATATTTTCTATTTTTGAATTTACCCATAGTTTTTTACGTTTTTTATTGACCACTAGATTTTAAAAAAACAATACATAATGCTACAGTCTCGCCCGAAATTATTCTGTCGAACTTTGTAACCGTTTGATCAACTATTCGTCACAGTTACATGATGATTTAACAATTACAGATCCGACGAAATTGTTACGTAACGAAATTGTAGCATTTCCCATTAATTTTATCTACCAAAATTTTGATTTCTTTCAATTCATTTTCCTCCATTAAAATGAGTCTAAGTCAAAGTCTAAACGGGACACGGTGCTTTTCCTATGATCAACAGCTGCTTTATGAGCTGTAATTTGATATCCTTTTTCCTATGATCAACTGCTTTACGAGCTCTTTTAAATAATAAACTTTTGTTTTTTAAAAAATAATATAAATGGATGCAACCATATCTTCAAATGATATCCCTTATATATAATTTATAAATGTAATTTATAAACGTGTTGAGCCTACGTCTGTTTCTGGTGCTTCGGAATCTTACTTGGCAAAGAATCATGTTTCGTACTTAGGCTTGGATAAATAATATTGATATATTATTAATTAATAATACAAGTTCGGGCATTTCATATCACTTGTACTAATATAATCCTTTAATTATTTGTAATTTTACATAGTGAGACACTAAGTGACTAATATATCAATGACTTTTGATTTGTTTCCTTCAGTTAGCTATTGAATTTTAAATATATTTTAAAAGATGATAACTTTTGTAATTCTTATCGGTTTTACATATATAATATATCAAATTAATCATCTTTTCATGATCTTCGGTTTGACATCCATATTGTATGTATAAAATAAATAAATTATATTTATTTTAATAATAATAAATAATAATAATATTTATTAAAATTTATTAGAAAAATAAAATTATTTCTCAGTTGATATAATTATGTTTAATGTAGTTATATGTTGTAAGTTAAAAAAAATATTATAATACAACACAAGTAAGTCACACAAATAAAAAGTGTCATACTAAATATATAATAATATATATGTTAATAAAAGGTATTTAAATTTTCAACTACTTTTTCTTATTAATTTTAAATTTTAAGAAAAAAAATTAAGAAACACCTGTGCAATACGCGGGCGTTGTACTAGTATTTTAGTCTTGAAGTATTTTGGTATCATTTGTTTTTACCAAGTTTCTAAAATTAAACAATTAAATTAAGTTACTGGTTCAATAGTCATTTGTTGTATTTGTTATTTACTATTATATATATTAAATATTTTTTATTAAAAAATATTATTAATTATATAAGAACAATTAAAAATATTCAAATATTAAACTAAATAATAACTAACTTGTACAAATCCATTATATTTAAAAATGTATTTTTAATTTACATTAAAAGTATTTGTAAATATATCAAAATTTATATACAGATTTTTTATATTTGGACCGGTCAAACAAGCCTGGCCGATCGGTTTTTGTTCGCTTTTCACTGGTTAAACCAAATTGTTGACTGATTATTAATGGTTCGCTGCTATTTATAAAATTAACTCCATTTCTACTACCTCAAATCATAAATACTTTAATAAATATTAGAACGTATGACGCATACTTACAATGTTCTAAAATTTATTAGGCGCTCGACCATCGCCTAGTGCCTAGAGCGTTTTGGTGGGGCCTAGGTGGCGCCTAGTAGGGACCTATAAATGAATCAATATTAAAATTTTATATTTTATTTATTTTAACTATCTACAAAATAAAATTATCTCAACTTATAATAAATCCACACACCTAAGTCCAAATAATAGTATTAATATATTTTAAAGAAAATGAGAACAAAATAATGTAATTAGTATTAAAAAAATTGAAAAATTTCCGCCGACCCCAATTAGGAGCGTCTAGGTGCCGGCGCCGTGCCGCCTAGCCTGCCAAGTCCGCCTAGGCGCCGCCTAGCCGTCTGGTCGATTTTTTCGACCGATTTGTGCAAATCGAAGGCGATTATGCACCATCTAGACCGATTTTTAGAACAATGATATTTATCCTTAATCAAAAACTATAAATTCAATACTAACTCTTAGGTGTTGAAAATATGTAGAATCCGAGTAAGCGACTTTTTTTTTTTTTT